AGCCAGAGGAACTTGCTGTTTATTTTTGAACCAATGTAAAAGTAGACCAGGAGCAGACACCTCCTGCTGCAGGCTAGACCTGACAAAGAGGTCATCTTTGTTGCACATGGCTAAGGAATCACATCCCCTGCTGAAGATCGGGGGCTATTTTTAGAAACAGGATAGAACTCCTCATTCTTGACATCGCTTTAATTTCCATCTCTGAGGAGTCAGACTGCATGGCTAGGGAAAAGTAAAAAAAAAAAAAAAAGAAAAAAGAAAGAAGTCTAGTAGGCAGCAGGGCCAGTGTGAGCCGCAAGCCTGTGTAAAAAGAAACCTGACGAAATTGCTTCTTGTGGTGCTGACAGAATTTTGTCCTGGCAGCACCAGTGTGCTAATCACCATGGGCTGTCAAAGAGCCATTGCCCAAGAGCAGCCCCATAATGGTCATGTAAATTTTACTTAAGTACCTAAGATTACAAGAAATTGCCCGGAATTTTAACGCACATTGTGCTGCCCTGTTTATAGAAGGGTATAGATTTACTGGCTCCATTTTTTCTACTGTAAATGAAAAGCCTCAGGGCTTGGGAGGAGGGGGAAAGAAAGGGGGAAGAAAGGAAATGTTTTGGCTTCACAGTATATAACTGCCTACGGAATCATTTCGATGTATATTAAAACCTCATTCAGGCCTGCCACAGATGGAGTGAGTTTAAACGATCCAGTGGGGCACCTTCCTCGCACAACTCTTCCACGCCTCTCGCTCTGCAGACTGCACTTCAGTGGATGGCCACGTCTCTTCTGCAGACACGAAAGCTCCAGCCCTGTTTTCCACGAGTAAACCGAGTTTTTTTCAGAGGTTTCAAAAGCTGCACAGGGAAATTGTAAAATATACTGGCTCTTACATAGCACGGGCTACAGTGCCTCACCCAGAGCTCCAGCTGACTGATCCCTTGTGCTCAGGTCTGGGTTGAATTCTGAGCCCTCAGCTGAAAGACAAAGCACCCCTAACCCCAGTGTCTGATATATCACCCTGCTAAAAAGGCAAACTCCTAGTCTGGATTATGTCTAACTGCAGCCTCGAGTCACTGAGTCTCGTTTACTTTGTCTTCTGCTGGATTAGAAAGCTATCTGTTATCTGAAATTGCTTTCAGGCTGTGACATTTCTAAACCAGTGTTTGTAATCTCAGGTCATTTTCACGGCTCTTTCTGAACACTTGCCAGTTTTTCTACATTCTTTTGGCAGGGCTGACATCAAACTGGATAGATGACTCCCAAAAAGCTCTCACTGGTGCCAGATAGAGGGGTAATATTCCTCTTATTTTTCTACTCTGTTGTCTCCTCCTTTTGTAACCAGAAATTATGTCTACAAAGACATTTTAACACTTCATAAATTAATTAGAACTCACAACTGACCATTTGTTAGAATTCTCATGCTTTTCAGAGGTACTAATTTGCAGTGTTCACTATTTCAAATGTATGTTCTATGTATGTGGCTATTTCAAATGCATGTTCTCCATTTGTCCATCACAGGGTTTTAAAATGCTGATTAGTTAATCCTGTTTTAAAATCCTGTTTTAGTAATCCAGATTTATCCTGTGATCTGTGTTAATTTATATCCAGGTTAATAAGATCTCTCTATGGTACTACTTGCATTTCCAATACCTGTTAATACACATATTTTTTATTTTGCTGATAACCTTTTATATCTTTGACAAAGACACTGAGTGGCAGTCAGCCAGGAAAAGGAGCTTATGGGATACCAGTATAATCAGTATTGGATGATGATCCCATTTTTTACAGACACTGCTGCTATCTGCTAACCTTTGATATATTCACATGATGTCCACTTTTCGTAGCATTGTTTATTCATTTTTCAGATGTAAAAACAAGTCACACAGGCCTACAGCAAAGGCTTTATAGAGTACTATGTCTACACAACTGCCTATAACCATCAACCCTTTAGTCTTGAAAAGAAAGGAAATAATCAGAAAACAAACACGAGGTTTTTATGACAGCGTATCTTTCATCTTGATGTTACAATTTCTTAATTTCTTCAGGATAGTGTCACATAGCAGCCTCTCTATGATTTTGCTTAAGATCATGTCAGGCTTGTCTTCTCCTGGTTTCCAATCAAATTTTCTACTGTTATCAGTGGTTGTTTCTTATCAAACCTCTAGAATTTCTTGGTGTTCCAATCTCCCTTCGAAACCACTATTATTAATCCTTCTGAGACCTCCTTGGACAATTGTTTGAATATTTTTAGGTGTAAATGAACTCTTCCTGCAAGTAAAAGCTATGGTTTGCTTTAATTGTCACACTTCAATGCCTGCTGCAAGCCCAAATCACTTTGTGACTTTAAATGGACATCTCAGCCATTACTTTCACTGGCACAAGGTTGGCCCAGTCAAAAATAAAATCCAGACAATCTATAAGTCATCATCTACTATTTTAAGCCGGGTTCCTGTTTTGTCTTTGCCCAACGACGTGAGCTCAGCTCTTGTGCTGCCAGGAGGGAATCCTGAGGCTGGAGGATGTTTTGGAGTCAACAGCTTGACTGGTGAGTTCATCAGTCAGCGTGGACAGCCCAGTGGCTCCCAGTGCTGCTCAGGTGCAAGAACCCAGGACAACAGTTAGGAAAGGAAGTACAAAGATGTAAGCAATGTAAAAAAATCAGGCAGAAAGGGTTCTGTAGGAAAATAGGGTTATTAAACAACTTGTAGTGAGATTATTCTACAGTTACACACACTGGAAAAAGTATGATTTTCTTTTTTTTCTGGAATTTTAAGTGAAAGAATGACATTCTTTCTAAGTGTGTTTCTGCAGGAGTTTCCTCGAAGTTTAATTTGATATTAAGTCCCTACAAAAACAGGTAGGCTTTCAAAGCAAGAATGAGACTCCAGATGTCACAGGACAGAAATTGGTTCTCGGTGTTGCAACAATTAGGCTTTTGCACTGTGGGTACTGTTTTCACTCGGGTTTGTCATTTGCTTCATGTTTATAGACTTTGCTTCTTCTTTAGCTGGATGTGTACATGCATCTGCTGGTATGTGAACCTCATATTTCAACTTCACAGCCTGGTGGTCCTGCATCATATGTGCCCCAGTGTAATGCTGGTCGTTTGACCAGATGGCAAGATGTCTAAATTAGGGAGGAACTCTAGCTCAGAGGGGAAGTAGATCTATTTCTTTCCTGGGGTTTATCTTAATAAAATTTTTATTATTGACATATTAATATAGAGAACTATTGATAAAATTAGTATCTATATGTTAATCTACATTAGTATTAATTAATTAATTATTAATATGTAGGTAGTCCTCAGAAATATCTGGGCTAGGCATTGGGCCATATAAGAGTAAAATATTTCTTCTCTGATCACACAGCTCATGTCACACCTCAGAAAGATTCTGAGGTGAAAAATGTCCTAAATGGATACCCTAAACAGATGATGTTGGGTGAAAGTTGACCCGGAAAGTGAAAGGAAATTAGAGGCAACTACTTCTTTTCATTTGCCTATAAGAACTCATTCACATTAGGCAGCAGAAGCATTGGGCCACTGATGTCCTGGTAACAGGACACAGCATCTCATCTATTTATGAGTTTTGATGTTGTTTCTCTGTAATGACAAGTGGCAAACGGGATTTTCTGGAGAAGTGAAAGGTTCTACCAGTTTTTTCAAGGAAGATTCTGATTTTACTTAATGTTTATCAGTGTCCTGACTGAAGAAGAAATACAACTAAGTGGTTAAACAGACTTGAACACTCCTTCATCACCTTTTCTTTTTTTTTTTCCAAATCTTAGGCAATGAACTTCTGACTGGAGCAAATCAGAGCAAAGAAACAGGATGATGCCTTAAGCACTTTTATCTGCAACTTAGGAAGAGCTTTGCAACTGGCACCTACACAAGAGAAATAAAGTTTCGCTTTTCTCTGGTGTCAAAGTCGAGTACCTACTGTAAGGTCCTCCACAGTCAGTAAAGGGAGACAAGAGTCGCTAGAAAATGACTCATCACACTTATTTTAGAGACCTATCTCAGGAGAACTAAATCAGCATCTGGAAGGGTTCAGCTCTCCCCTTTGATTAGAGAGATCATAGAGACAAAATGACTCATTTAAGTATACCCAGCAGAGGAATGTCTTGCCAAAAGTGAGTTATTTGTAGGGATTAAACCCATTTGCTTTGGTTTTTCTATCTTTCCCTTTCATTAATTTTATACCAACTCCTCTTCCCTTGCATTGGCCGAGATCATTACAGGCACACAAGACACTGACTGTTGCAGTTGGCTTCTTGTGTGTTGTTTTGGAAGGTGCAACAATTATGCTCCCAAAATAAAAGAGACAGGATTTATAAGCCAGAACACACAAGGGAAATCCACTTTCCTTGAAAGGCTTGGCTGCTGTCTGAGTTGCCTCTTGACACAGTTACATAAAAGACCTACTTTATTTTTCCACTTTCTGAGTCAGAAGAGCTTTGGAGAAAATTCACGGTGACCCTACTAAATGTATGGAGATGGACTCCCAGTGAGACTCGAGGCACACCCAGAAATTTAAATTCTAACATAAGATTTGCTTTGCAGGGGAAAAAAAAAAAACAAGTGGCTAAGATAGTAGCCAAGGATTCAGGAGATGTGGATTAATTTCCTTGCTCTGCCACAGACTTCCTATATGACTTTGGGAAAGTTATTTAATCTCTGCATATCACTTTTCTGTGGTAAAACTTCCTGGATGTCTCCGAAGATAAACATATTAAGACGGATGCTCTGAAACCAGAGCCCGTATGTCTGCTGAAGAAAAGTAGACAGTTTCTAATCAAATGCTATTTCCATACACAAGTATTTGATTCAGTTTAAAGGGATGCCTCTCCCAAACTGCCGGTGCCATGTCAAAGATTAAAATCTCGCTCAGACAGTGCTTCCCACACACCAATAATTCCAGCTGCCACGGGGCTCAAGACCACAACCAAGGGTATAAAAACCCTCCCTCTTCCACACTTTCTCCCCAACAGAGAAGACCCACTTATCTCACCTGTATCCTGTGAGCAGTATCCCGTGACCCCCAAAATCTTCATTAAAAGATGGCCCTTGCAATAAATCCAGAAGGCAGGCGAGCACTACTCAAAAGGGCTGAAGATTTCCCAAGGAAAATTGTCATTGCATAACTGTACCACCACTTCCCTTTCTTCTGGGCCAATGAAGTTCACTGTCAGGAGCTTATGCTGATTTTAGCAGCTTGGGGACGGAACAGAAAGATGTTGTTTGTCATGTGGGGAAGGACAGGGCTGAACAGGATCTCAGTGGCTCATTGTGCTGAGCAGAAACCCTTGGATACAGCCCAAAATCTGGTCTCCTGAAATGCTCCTTTAGTTGTCACTGTCTTTCCACTCATATATGAGGTGGACTCACTATATTTTAACCATCTTTATGGCATTTAAATATTTCGTGTGAGTTAGCTCTCCCTAACATATTGTAAATTGCTCCCTTTTTTTTTTCAATTGTTTTTCAGAAGAGGCAAATACCGACTCTGTCACTTACTTGGTTGGCTTTTTCCTTTTCCAAATACCAACAAAGCATCACTCTCTACAGAATGCAATTGATGATAATGCTTGAAGGTGAAATCAACTGTTCTTTGATGGACTGTCAGATTAAGTCCTTGTGGCAGTAAACGAGAATCTGAATCAGATCCATGCTCCCCTGCTTCCCCAAACCTAAAATCCACTTCCCTAAAATTAACTCCCTCCCTACAAAAAGAGATTTCTGGCTTCTTCAGGTGAATGATTTTATTGAAACAAGTACAACCATATCAGAGTGCCAGGGGGTGCTGATGAACAGACAACCTAATCCCTTCTGATAAGACCTGCTACCTCAGACGGGAGGCTCAGGCTTGCCAAGTGACCTGGATGACGTGGCTGAAGCTTTCACACTTCTCATTACAAGTTTTCATTAAACTTGAAGGTTGAACTACCTCTTGTGCTCTTTCTAGCACAGAGGTTGCTTTCCTTCTCAATAAAAGGCAGAGGTGAGGATCAAAAAGGGAAGACTCAAAATGAAGGGGCAGCGTGGTGGGAAGAACTTCCCCGGGGCTGAGGATACACTGGGGGTGCCTCAGGACACCGAGCCACTCATTCCCAAAACAGAGCAACTGTTTGGACCAAACTGGGTAGCTCTACTCCCAACAGCACATGGATAAACTTGGAGTTAAAACACTTGTCCAAAAAACTGGGCAACTGGGTTCTATTGCCTGATTTGTCTCAGATTCTGTGTGGAGTCCATGGCATGTCAAATATTCTTTTTATGCCATTTTTAAAATGGGCATTAGACATGTTCTCCCCACTTTAGAGAGATGTGACAGGCTAAATCCATAGAACCAGAAGGAGTTCAGAGGAGTAACCAGAATAAACAATAATGAAATTAACCAATATTGCTAAATACCAGGAGAGAAAAGCATTGAGGCACTAAAAACTGTTGGTTATGACATAGTTTCCAAGAGAAGAAATGAGGATTCTATTAACTGGGAAGTTAACCATTTCTCTCAGCTGATTTAGAGGTTACAGAACTGGCAAACCAAAAGACCTGAGACATTTTAGTGTCTCTTTCTATGCTGAACTTTGTTGATCTAATTCTGCAATTTATTAGGCATGGGAGAATGGATCTGGATGCAATAAGGACTGACCTTCCCCTAATTTCCAGTGAATCCAAAGCCTTTTCACAGAATTCTGGTTAACTGTTTCCCCTCTTATTTTAATTTCCCACGCCTCTTGACTTCCAGGCTCTGCTTGTGACCGGAAGCCAAAATGCCATGAGAAAAAGCTCTTCTGTGGTAATTTTGACACTGCCAAGCATGAGTCCTACAAACCACATGGGAAAACTTGTTCACATACAATCCACTGCCCAAAAATATCCAAAAAGTTTGGGATAAGAATCCAGCCTTTAAACATTAATACAAAGCAAACTCCTAAAATATTTCAGAGTCAGCCCTTTTAGTATTTTTTATCCAGAAGTGAGAAGCACTTCCACAACCATTTTAAATGTTTCTTTCAGTCGACAGAGCCATGAATCAAATAATTTGTTGAATGTATTCATCTGCTTAGTGTAGTTCAGAACATTAGGTGTTTACAGTACATTTGTCCATTCTTCTCAAGGTAATTAGAGCTCTTTGAATCAAGGACTCACACATGTTCTATCAGTCCTGGAATGAGGACTTAGCACAAAAAAGCAGTACTGATTGTCCACAGCCACTGGAGACATTTTCATGAATTTATATGTTTACAATGTATGTCGCTGTAAATTACACATTTACAGTCGTATTTAAAGATGTGAGAATCTGAGGGACCAGCTAAACAACATTCACTTCAAAGAATGCACTGGGTGTAGTTGCACTTTAATTACCTGCAGACCATGCTGCTTCCAGGGCAGCTGCAATGGCCAGGACTGTGGCACAGGCTGGAAAAAAAATTGAAAATAAAACAAACCAAACCAAACTAAACAAAACAAAACAAAGAAAAACCACAAACAAACAAACAAAACAAAAAAAAACAACAAAAAAACCACCACCAACAAACAAACAAAAAAAACCACACAAAAAAACCCACCACCTCTTTATAGTTCATCAAGGGCTCTGGCATGCCAGGACTACATCATGAGCTGTTCTCAAGCTAACTGGTTACAGCTAATTTACAGCTATATCAAAAGTAATTCTGGCAGCACCTGCTCAGCAGTTCTGCTCTGAAATAGCTGGTTGAAGCAAGTGCTAGAGTTTTCTTGGGACCTGTCCCAAACCAGTGAATTAAGTGAATTAATCATCAGATGAACAGAAGATTAACTTCATTGCGTCCTACTCCCAGTGCAAAGTTCCCTGCTTTCATTTTTCATCTCTAGCAGCGTTACTGTATGGAAAACAAAAGGATATAAAGTCCATAAGTTATTTCAGCTTTGCCTGTTCCTTGCTGGAGGAGCACAGTGCTTGCACACAATGAATATTGGTTACCCAGGGAGGGTGGTGGAGTGGCCATCCCTGGAAGTGTTCAAGAAACGTGTGGCACTCAGTGCCATGGTTTATTAGGCATGACAGTGTTTGGTCAGAGGCTGGACTGGACTTGATGATCTTGGAGGTCTTTTCCAACCTTAAGGATTCTATGATGTGAATCCTTATCAGGTCGTTTTTCTTTTAAGAAGCCTGAGAAATGTACCAGGAGCCTCAGATATCCCTGTTCCCCAACTCCTCCTTTGGTTGCTTAAATTCACACAGATTCACCTGCACTTCTGGGAAGATGATATGCTTTGTCTTGTCACAGTTTCAGGCAGTATATAGCTGTTCCAAGGTGCTGACTAGTTAGGGAAAGCAGCTCAAAGCATTTTTGAGATACTCACCTTCTTCTGCCAGGTGTGGCTTTGTCCTTTCCCCCCTCTCTCCCATTTCCCCTTTACGTTCTTTTACAACAGGGATTTCAACTTTAGGATCGTGAAGTTCTTATTCCAATTGCCAGCTATAAGGGTTTAAGGTTTCATTTCCTAGCTATCTGTAATCATGCTTCTCATCCCATGCCAAAGTCACTTCTTGGGAACATGGATTCCCACTCTATTTCTTAATCAATGCCTTTCTTAATCAATGCCATTAATTTGAAAGTCATACATCACATTCACCATTCATCTTGTTGGACTCCTAATTTTCAGTCTGCTATGAGCTTTCCACATGGAAAAGACATGAAGGGTTTGATCTCTACAATTCCTCTAAATACTTTTGCCGTCCTCTTTCCCTTCTCTCCACTACCACCTTGTGTCAGGTTTTGGCCTGTATGTGTGGTTGCAGTGAGTGATCAGCCCTGAAGAAAGAAGAATGTGTGTAAAAAGATAATTGATTCCTTATATTACTGAAATCAGTGTTTTTTCATGAAGAGCCTATCCAATTGCAGTCAACAGGAATGCAGCATCTGGAGGCACACGGCAAAGAAAATGCCATCCAGTTAAAGGCAAGTTGTGATGCATGCTGGATCTCAGGATAAGAACAACCTTGAAAGATGAGTAGCCATAGACTGTCCTAACAGGTGTCAGTTTGAAAATTTAAGGAACAAAAAACATTTGGCACAATGAAAGAATAAAAGGCCTGGATCGGCTTTTGTCACTTTGGTAGTTACTGGAAAGGTAGGCAACACTCCTGGGAGACTGCAGCAGTGAAGAAAGAGCCTCTTCAGGCAGGCCCTTTGGGTTCTAGAATTGAGAGGAGCAACCTGATGAGGCATTGCAACTTGGAGATTGGTGGCTGAGGATGGAATAAGGAGGGGAGCGATGTCCTGTTGCACGGCTGACCCTAAGCCTTGCCTCATCCTGACTCGTCTGGTTCACAAAGTCAAGGGCCAGCCTAGTTCAGCTGAGCTCTTAAAGAGATCCCTGTGCCACAATGAGTGCTTGAAACATGATTTCTACACTGCTTAGGGGACAGGGAAAGGGGACAGGCCGTCAGCAGATACCAGCGATCTGTCCCGTCTGCTCAAACGGGGCAATCAAAGTTTCTGCCCCTGGTTTTTCTGTAGCTGTCATTCCTCACAGCCTGGTCAGTTTGGAGGGAATTTCTGCTTGTAACATCCTTTGGAAAAAAAGAGAGCTTGTGTTCCTGTTTGAGAGTAGGACCTGAGGCTCTCAAGGCATGGCCTGAAGTGCAAGCTACTGTCTCACTCCTCTAACACCTCCGTGTCAAGTGTCAGCTTCCTTCAGGGGACAGGCTGGCTCAACAGGCAATGTCTATGCCAAAAATTAAACCTAAGCCTGCCTGGCCCTGCTTCTCACTACTATGTATATATATATATGATTTAATTTTCTTACTTCTTGGACTTACAGTTATCGGGGGCTTACGAGTGAGGGATAAGGTAGAAGGGTTAATTGCTGCAGCACTGACAGGTCCTTCCTGGTTCTTTTGTTTTGCTTTGTTTAAGCCTTTTTTTTTTTTTTTTTTTTAACACTGCTCAAGGGCTTTCTTTTTTTTAATCTGCTTTCTAAAACGTCTAGTGCTGAGAGATGTATTTATCCATAATGATGAACACATGGTTTGTGCTGCCTAGGTATTATATATCCATGCATTTCACAGGAGCATATTGTTTTAGGTAA